GGGCGAATACCTCTTCGAAAGGCTTACTCTCGAGAACGACTAGGAAGAGCCTTTGGAGCCCCGTAACCTGTAAAGGGCCTTTCAGTATTCCCCTGCTCTCCTCAGACCTTCTGCCTGAACCTTGCTCTCCAGCTACAGACGCAGCATAGTCAACGCCCTGGAGCCCCTCTTCAAGCCGTAGACCAAATGAAAACAATAAAGCTCCCATTTACAGCAAAAAAAGAGAGAAAAGAACCACATGATCATACTGACTGATGCAGAAAAGGCATTTGACAAAATCCAACATCCATTACTAATAAAAATATTCATCAAAATAAGAATAGAAGGGGAATTGCTCAACATAATTTAGGGCATATATACAAATTCAACAGATAATAGTACTCTCAATGGAGAGAAACTGAAAGCATTCCCTTTGCAAACAGGAACCAGACAAGGGTGCCCTTTATCACCATTTCTATTCAATACTGTGTTGGAAGACTTAGTCAGAAATATATAGCAAGAAAAGGGAAATTACAGACATTCAAATTGGCAAAGAAGAAGTAAAACTCTATTTGCAGATGTCATAATCTTAAACATAGAAAATCCCCAAGACTCAGCAAGAAAATTATTGGAACTCATCGGAAGATTTAGCAAAGTCACAGGGTACAAGATCAATATACAAAAGCCAGTTGGATTCTTCAACACCAATAAAAGACAGCTCTAAAAAGAAGCCAGGAAAATAATACCATTTACAATAACCACCCAAAAGATGAAATAATTAGTTCAAATCTAACCAGAAGAACAAAAGACCTATACAAAGAAACTATATAACACTTACTACAAAAAAACCATACAAAAATGGAAGAATCAACCCTGCTCAAGGACAGGAATACTTAACATTGTGAAAATGTCAATACTATCCAAAGCAACCTGTAGGTATAATGCAATCCCACTCAATTCCAACATTTAAAGAGATGGAAAAGGTGATCACTAACCTTATATGGAAAGTAAAGAGACCTTGGGTAAACAAAGCATTACTTAGGAAGAAGAGCAAAGTTGGAGGCCTCTCACTTTCTAATCTCAAAATCTACTACACAAGCAAAGTGGTCAAAACAGTATGGTACTGGTACAAGGAAAGATGCATAGATTAATGGTACAGAATTAGCTTAGAGAAGCTAAACAAAAAGGAGAAATGAGGAAGTAAAATAGCTGAACAGAAAATTACAAAGGACAGCTTGAAAAGACAAAGTGCAAAGACCTGGAATTGAAAAACCACAAGAGAAGAAATGTTCAGCATTTCTCAAAATGAAAGAATTGAAGGAAAAATTCAAGCCTCAACTTGCAATATTTAAGGATTCTATGGGCAAAATACTGAATAATAAGAAAGTATCATAAGAAGGTGGGAGATAGGCCCATAGACTGAGAAAAGCAGAAGGCTGGCATGTAAAACATGCCCTTTGGACATTTAAATGAATATATATTTACAATGTGGTATATGTACATCAAAAAAAAATTAAAAAGGTAACAGGGATAAGTATTGTTGGCTAAGGGTGCATAGAGAGGATTGTAATCATTACAATGATTTCCTGAACGTAAAACTGGTGATCTGCTCTATAAGCCTTTGCTTACTCAATACAGAATAAAAGCTTAAAAAAAAAAAAAAAAAAAAAAAAGAAGGGAGGAACACAAAGTCCCTGTACCAAAAAGAAAAGTTGGATGTTCAACCATTTCAAGAGGCAGCATATGAACAAGAACCCAATGGTTAAAAAAAAGGACAAATGGTAATGAAGGAAGAAGTCCAAGCTGCACTGAAAGCATTGGTGACAAACAGGCCTCCAGGAATTGATGGGATATAAATTGAAATATTTCAACAAACCAACACAGCACTGGAGGAATGTACTCATCTATACCCAGAAATCTGGAAGACAGCTACCTGGATACCTGATTGGAAGAGATCCATATTTGTGCCCACTCCAAAGAGGTGACCCAACAGAAGGTAGAAATCATCCAACTATATCATTAATACCACATGCAAGTAAAATTTTGCTGAAGATAATTCAAAAGCACTATCAACAGTTGTTGTTGTTGTTGTTATGTGCCGTGGAGTCGGAACCGACTCATAGCGACCCTGTACAGGGTTTCCGAGGGTGTAAATCTTTACGGGAGTAGAAAGCAACAGTAGATCCACAGAAAACTGCCAGAAATACAAACCAGATTCAGAAGAGAATGTGGAACAAGGGAGAGCACTGCTGATCTCAGATATATCTTGGCTGAAAACAGACAATACCAGAAAGATGTTTACTTGTACTTTATTGATTATGCAAAGTCTTTCGACTGTGTAGATTATGACCAATTATGTATAATACTGAAAAGAATTGATATTCAGAACACGTAGTTGTGTTCATGAGGGACCTTTAACAGAGCAAGAGGCAGTTGTTAGAACAGAACAAGGGGATATTGGTTTAAAATCAAGAAAGGTGTGCATCTGGGTTGTGTCTTTTCACCACACTTATTCAATCTATATGCTGAGCAAATTATCTGTGAAGCTGAATTATAGAAAGAACATGGCATCAGAACTGAAGGAAGACGTACTAACAATCTGCGATATGCAGATGATACAACCTTGTTTGATCAAAGAGAAGAGGACTTAAAATATAGATAAAGATCAAAGACTACAATTTTCAGTATGGACTGCACCTCAATGTAAAAAATCCTCAGAACTGGACCAACAAAAAACATTATGATAAATGAAGAAAAGACTGGCACTGTCAGAAACTTTATTTTGCTTGGATCCAAAATCAACACTCAAAGAAGCAGCCATCAAGAAATTAAACAACATACTACATTAGGCAAATCTGCTACACAAGACCTCTTTAATGTGTTCAAGAGCTAAGATGTTAATTTCAGGACTAAAGTGTGGCTGACCCATACCATGATATTTTCAATTTGCTCTTATGAATAAGAAACTTGAACAATGAATATAGAAAATCTTATAAGCATCACTGAATTTGCATTAAAGTGTTCGCAAACAGTATTAAAAGTACCATGGATTGTAAGAACATCGATTGTAAGGAGAAATACGGCCAGAATGCTTCTTAGAAGCCAGGATGGTAAGACTTCAACTCCCATACTTCGAACATATAATCAGGAGGGGAAAATCCCTGCATTTGGAAATCCATCATGCTTGGCAAAGTGGGCGAGGATCAGTGAAAAAGAGGAAGATTATCCCGCAACAAGATGGACTGTATAGTGGCAGCAGCAATGGGCTCAAATGTAACAACTATGAGGATGGCACAGGATTGGGCAGTGTTTTGTTCTATTGTGCATAAGATCGGTCACTGTGAATCGGAACCAATTTGATGGCATATCTCTGAAACATGTTTGTTTAAACAAGAAACTTAGATTATATTGTATTGGTAGAAGACTATGTATTTTAATAAGGATCCCTTTATCCTTGACACAAGCATATTACTGGCACGGTAGATTAAAAACTGGACTGCTAATAACAAGATCAATGGTTCAAACACACCAGCCACTCCTTGGAAACACTAGAGTCTTTATCAGTCAAACCAACTTGAAGGCACTTAACAACAAGAACAATTTAATAACCAATCACGTAGTTTAATAATACTTTTTGCTCATTAGATTCTTTTTGTAATTGCATATATAGTAAGTGGCCTTTATTTTTTTCAAAAAAAATGCAAACAACACTAAAGTCTATAATGACGAATGTGAAGGGTCTCAGGTAAACTCTGGTAATTCTACCTCTTCTTCCACCACTCCCACCCCCACTACCCCCGCACTGCCCCAGAAAAGTATCACCACTTTTAACAGCGTATATTCCTCCACAATTGCAAGCTAAATGGTAAAAAATGGTAAAAGCACTGAAGTACACAAATATGAGATTTAATTTAAAATTTCCAAACAGTTTATATTCCAATTCTGTTCATTCTTAAACCAAAGGCGGGGTAGGGTGTGGATGGGAGGAGAGAGTTGTCGTTAGGTGCCGTTAGTCGGTTCCAACTCAAAGCGATCTTTCTCTTTTTCATTGACTCTCTGCTTTACCACGCATGATGTCCTTCTCCAGGGACTGATGCCTCCTGATAATACATATGAGTATGAGAAGGAGCTCTGGTAGCCTAGTGGTTACGAATCGGGCTGCGAACCTCAAGGTCAGCAGTTCGAAACTACCAACTGTTCCGCGGGAGAAAGATGAGGCTTTCTGCTCCCGTAAAGATTTACAACCTCAGAAAACCTGTACAGAGTCACTTGGAGTCAGAACGGCTCGCACATAACAATAACAAACAGGCTCGCCATGAGCTTTAAATTAGGGCACTCCAATTAAAAAGCTAAAAAAGCACTGTGGAACTATGAGCCCAAAATTGGGGGACAAAAACCGAGCAGACAGCAATAGTTGTTATGTGCGTGGATTCGGTTCCGACTCATAGTGACCCTTTACAGGGTTTCCGAGGCTGTAATAGGTAGTCCTTTTCTTCAGAAGGACTTGTAGCAGAGTCCTGGTGTGGCGCTGAGGATAAGCTCTGGACTGTAAAATCTGCGGTTAAAATTTACCAGCTGCTCCTCAGAAACCTTATACAGGGTCACTAGGAGTCAAAACAACGACACTTAACACCAGTCATGCTAATTCTGTCAGCAGCCAATACAACCCTAGATCCACAGAATGGTGGTGGTGATGTGCCGTGGAGTCGGAATCGACTCATTAGGGACCCTGTAAAGGGTTCCGAGGCTGTAAATCTTTAAGGGAGCAGAAAGCCTCATCTTTCTCCCGCGGAACAGCTGGTAGTTTCGAATTGCTTACCTTAAGGTTCGCAGCCCGATTCGTAACCGCTACGCTACCACAGAAGAGACTAATCCAAAATTCTGGCCCTTCCCTTCTGATCCCTTCAAAACACTGATCAAGGCTAAGACCACTGGGGTTGGGAGGATGCGGTGGGGAGAAGACGTTGCCACGATCAGGCCACGAGCTTTTGACCATGCACCGCATCATCCCCGCTTCTTACCGATAGTGTCCAGGCGGTGCGTCAGTAGTAACGTCCGAGAACCACACCGAGCGGCGGCAGCGGCTGCTTCAGTCCCGGCATGTCCTCCGCCTATGACTACTACGTCGAAGTGCAGACACCTGGGCGTCCCGCTCCCACCGCTGAGCCGGGCCAATGAAAGGTGCTGTTTGGTGATAGAACTCGCGACCCGGAGACTACAGCTTTGGAGGGAAAACATAGTGGAAGAAAGTCTGAGTCTGTGTGACTCCGATTCCGACACGAAAGAAGTGCAAAAACTTGCGCAAGAAAAGATTTCAGAGTCTGCAGGGCGCAGCCATCTTGAGCTGATGTCACGGTGTAGCCAATCTACGTCCAACGTGGCTGCTGATAGGAGGATTGACGCAACTTTACAAGCGAAGGGCGAATGGGCAACAGTGCGCATGGGCGTGACCTTCTGTATCACGTATCCTCATTGAGGCAGGCCACTGGATTAAAAATCAGGTTGGCGGTTCAAACCGCCAGCCACTCCAGGAACCACTACAGAGGATCACTTTGAGAACCGACTCTTGGGCACTTAACAACAACAACAGCCCATTTAATTAGTTATGGTCCTTGGCTGGCAGCTCTACGCGAATGCCATCTTTCGTTCTTTCCTAGGAGTTGCAGCTCTACTCTCCAGATACCTACCTAAGAATTAGGAATTGATTCATTTTGCCTTGTAAAAAACTGACTTTTCTCGTAACTATCTCCCTGAATTGTTTGTCTATAAAGATTGCAATCTGAATACATGAACAAATTCCAATGGAGTTCAAATACATTTATGAATGAAAAATTCATGATGGTTAATTAGGGAAATCGGATGATTGTATATTAAGAGTTCAGCCTTTCGAAATTGACATCCTCAAAGTATTCCTCAGAGAAAAAACCTTTTGTTGGATACTGAAACCTCCCTTGTGGCAATTATATTGTTTAGATCATTAAAATCCTTCAGTACTGTAAAGTTCAGGAAGACTTTTGATCAAGGCTAGATGATTACATTAAATTCAGTTTTTGCTGAATTACCCTTTATTATTTGGCCTCCAAATAAGTTTTTCTGTCTCTTTCCTACCTCCTATCACACAGAACAAGATGTCTTGTTTTTGCATTTGCTGTTCCCTCACTCTGATTTTTTTCCCCATCTTCTCCCACACCTCTCCACAAACTTTAAGACATTTGATTCTTCAGAATAATGTCACTAGAGACAAATGGAATAAGCATAGGCAAAAAAATAAAAAGGACATTCTATATGATGTTTTCTGTTTGTGTGTTTCATACCCATTCTTTTAAAAAAATTTTTTTTATTGTGAATTGAATGATAGTTTACATGGGAGAACATCAGTTTTACAATCATTCTATCATATTTCATTTCATTGCAATGATTACAATCCCCTCCATGTATCATCATTCAATAGTATGTGCTTCTATTCCCTCTGGGTTTTTTTTTTGATGTATACTCCAAAACACTCAGGAATATATAATCATTTAAATAACCAAAGGGCATATTCTGCAAGCCTGCCTCTTGGCTGCCAGCACACAGCCTTTCTCTTTCCATGTCCAGAGTCCTCATCTGCTCTATCTCTCCATGTCATCACACCTATTTCTTGATATATTTTCTTCATTTGCCTTCCAAACATCAAAGTGTCCTATTTTTCTGGCTGCTCCTTCTTAGTTTACTTTGCTTTTTCTTCCCTCTTGAGCACTGTGCTCAAGCCCAAGGGCACAGTCAAACCAATCTCAAAATTCCATCCTGAGGAATCTGCCTCCTGTAAGGAACCATTCTTTTTTTTTTTTTTTTTTTTTAAATAAATGTCTTATTGTGAATTGTGTGATAGTTGACATGGGAGAACATTAGTTTTACATTCATTCTATCATATATCGTTTCATTGCCATAGTTACCATCCCGTCCATGCATCATCACCCAACCAAAGGATATACCCTGCAAGCCTGCCCCCACCCCCAACCCACGGTCCTCAGCATGCAGCCCCTTTCCCTCTCTGGATCTCAAGTCCCCAACCACTCCATCTCTTCACGTCATCTTCTCTGCCTCCATCTCAGGCCTCACTGCTTCTCTGGATAGGGTCTTGCTCTCTGCTCTTCTCCATTGATGGTCCCAGGGCCCTCTGCTCCTAGACTGAAAAGTTAATCACTCCCCTCCTTGCTATAAAATGTCCACCTTTACATTTCCAACCCTCACAATCAGTTCTGGTAACAATTATTCACTATTGCGTTACAAGAGACTCATCTGAATTTCATTTAATTAGCCCTTCCTGGACAGGCTGGATGCTATTCACTGGAGACTCCACCTTCCTCCAGGCCCTTTGGAACCAAATTCCCTCTTGAAAGCTTGTAAGCCAGTCACTTCTTACCTTTGTATCCTTCCCCCCATTTTGGGTAGCCAGTGTCCAAGTTGCCCATCCCTGTCTACTCTTTGTGTGGAGGGGGTGGGAATAATTCTTGCAGCAGGGATTTGTTTCCTCTTTTGAGCTACTGCATTTATAGGTGTAGGTAAGGAACCATTCTTGTAACTAATTATGTAAAAACCTGGGTCCAATCAGGAGATGGAAATCACACAATAGGCTAAACAAGGGAAGTTATACTAGCTATAATAAAAGAGTAACTACCTATCACTTAACTCACAATAAAAGCTTTAAAAAAAAATTTAAAAGTGTAACTGAAAAATATAATAAAACTGTAGCTGGGACCTTAGGGGTGAGAGAGAGTATCCAGCGAAAGACAAACTTGGAAGGGATTCAGACGTCATAGGAGAAGGTTGTAGTTTGGGCATCAAATAACAAAAAGTTCAGACTTCATAGGAAACGTTTATAGTTTGGCCATTAGATAACAGAGAAGTTTACTGATTTAGATAGACTGGAGCTGGTCTAGACAGGCAAACCCTCATATTGCAGGATGGGGAGCAAGGAACCAGCATCTAGGAACTAGTGGGTGCAGAAGGCTTTCAGAGAGCACTTAGTGACTTCCAGAGGCAGTGGTGGCTCCATGTGTGATCCTCTGGACCACAGATGATTGTGTGCAGGCTAGGCAGGAGTTTAGTTTCCTGCGGACAGGCTACTTCCAAAACATGGCTGAAATGTTATAGAAGGATCACTTTCTGGAACTGTGACTCAAGCAAGCTCCACCAGATGTTCTCACAATTTCCCCCTCACCTACTCTTTGTCCTTCACCCCCTCTCCCCATCCTCCACCCTTCTTTGGAAGTCTCAGGGCTTCTCTTGCTCCTGTAATGTTCCGCTGACAATCTCTACTTGAGAAAGTTTAACATCCTGCTCACTTTGAAAAAGAAATGCTTAAAGGAATTATGCTTATCATGATCAAATTCAGAGCTTAGAGGCAATGACACATCTCAAATTTAACATACTCCAACCATACTTGCTGTTGTTTGAACAACCTGACAGGATCCGACTTTATGTCCATTGAATAAGCTTGTCCTTCTGCCTGGAACATTCTTTCCCTAGGAATCCCTTCTTTTAAATCTTTGCTAAAATATCACTTTCTCTGTATTTTAGTTTTGCATCACCTCTCATTACTGATCCCATTTTGCAGGTAGCTAAAAGGAGCTCTGGTAGCGTTGTGGTTACAAATTGGGCTGTGTCGCAAGCTCAGCAGTTTGAAACTACCAGCTGTTCTGCGGGAGAAAGATGAGGCTTTCAGCTCCCAGAAAGATTTACAGCCTCGGAAACTCTGTACAGGGTCGCTATGAGTCGGAACCGACTCTATGGCACACATCATCAACAACAACAACATAAAGGCAAAAGGCCAGTAGGTGACGCAGCACACCACTTATTGAAAGAGCATTTTAGGTGTGTGGGCTGTTTTTTGTTTCTTTGTTCTCCTTCTTCTTGCATCATATGACAGGAGACAGCAACCGTAGTCATAGGGCCAAACCATAACTGTACCCTCTGCAACCAACCCCACCAATACCATTTACTATACACCAAAGCAGTTACTACAACCAATATTGGCTAAATCCACTCTGAACCGAACTGTACAAACATTGAACAGAGAAGCTCATCTCCTGATCACACCCATCAGGAGGCAATGGGGTATATCTAAGAACACACTAACATACATTCATCAAATTAATACAAATACAAAAATACCAAAATGTTTAAAAAACAGCAGAAAATTTCTATCCACATGAAGAAACAAGACAAAGTAGCTCAAACAAACGACCCAAGAGGCAGAGCTAGAAAATTATTTTGAGGGAGAAGCAGCACAGGAACTACCTGAAAAATAATTCAGGAGAATGATATTGAGGCACATCCAAACATTTCACAAAAAGGTCGAGGAAAATCAGGACAATTTCAGAAAAGTGCTACGGGATCAAACAAAACAGATACAGCCTTGAAGACAATACAAAACCTGCAAACAGAAATTCAGAAGATCAATACTAAGATATCAGAAATGGACATACACTGAAAGGGCAAAGGAGTAGAATTGAATCAATGGAAGCCAAAATTAATGAACTTGAAGATACATCTCTCAATACTAGTAAGATAGAAGAACAATCAGAGAAAATAATGAAAAAATCTGAAGAAAGCCTAAAGTTCATGTGAGCAGCATGAAGAAGAATAATCTACTGGTGTTCAGAATTCCAGAATAGGAAGAGACAAAGAAAACCAGAGAAAAAAATAGTCGAAGAGCTACTGGAAGAAAAATTCCCTAACATCATGAAAAACAAGATGATAAGTATTTGAGAAGCTGAATGAACCCAAACAGGAAACCCCAAAAGCAAATCACCAAGACACATCATAATCAAACTCTCCAAAATCAAAGACAAGGAAAGAATCCTGAAAACAGCTTGGGAAAAACGTTACCTACAAAGGATAATCAGTAAGATTAAGTTCTGACTACTCAGCAGAAACCATGCAGGCAAGAAGGCAATGGGAGACATATTCAAAATTCTGAAAGAAAACAACTGCCAACCAAGAATCAAATACCCAGCAAAACCATCCCTCAAATACAAAGGTGAAATTGAGACATTTCCAGATAAAGAGAAATTAAAGGAATTTAAAAAGCAGACCAACTTTACAAAAAATATTAAAGGGAGTCCTTCTGGACTGAGAATCAAAGATAGCAGACAACTGTAGTCTCCCATGTATGACATACATGAAAGCCATACATGGAAGCACCACCCAGAATACAATCTGGTAACATTGTTGTTGTCAGGTGCCATCGAGTT